GTGCAGGCCCGTAGACATTGTAAAAACTGAAGACATATTGTTTGTGTGGGAATTTGACCACAGTGGGGAATAACATGCTGTAATTTAAAGGGGATCTATTATGCAAAATGCACTTTTGTACGTCTTTTATACATGAATATGTGTCCCCGGTGTGTCAGGGAACTCACCAAGTGTCAGAAAACACAACCCTCTCTCTTTTCCTCCATACCCAAATTTCTAAAAACGGGGCTGCAACAGATCTGATACAGATTTCAAATATCTCTGACGTCAGAAACGAGGTGATCCGCCTATATGGGCAACTAGTGTTGTCACGATACCAACATTTTGGTTTCGATACCGATACCAAGTCAAGAATTGCGATTCCGATTCCTTTTCGATACTTTTCTTTTCTTATTTTCATGATCAATACAATTGTAGTTTATCTGTTAAAGGTGGGGTAGGTACGTTTCAGAAACCGGCTCGAGTGCACTAAAATTTGAAAGTACACAGCCGAAAAGAATCCGCCCCTTTCTTCAGACTTCCTTACAGAGCACCTCCTCCAACACACATGAACGCGCACATGACGTCAGCAGACTGGTGAAAGTGTCATTGAAGTACTGCTGCAATGCACGCCCAATGACGGCACGCCCAATGACGGCACGAGATACATTTGTGCGTGCACGAGATGGAAGGCTGACAGACAGGGCGGCAATCCAATCCGTTTAGCCGAGCCGGCTAAACGGATTGGTCGTGCTTTTTACAGTACTACAGCTTCCACAGATGACATTTTTTTATGGATTTTTTGTCAAAGCACTTAAGATATTCATTGCTATCGGATGTTAAGAGCATTCCATGGAATATAACAAAAAGTGTATCTCGAGCCGGTTTCTCAAACTTAACTACCCCACCTTTAAGTGTTTTCTTACAACATGGTCTCTTCTTTATACTTGAGTTTATGTGATTTCTTTGATAGTTAACTTTATATTTTATTAACATGTAATAGTACAGTAATATAAATAATTATTGACAAAATGTACATTGCAGATGTTAGCCACATTGGTAAGTTAGCTAAAAAGATAGCCATATTAGACAGTTATCATTGCCATTAATTGCCTCGTCAAACTACGAAATAAATTACATTTGTTTGACTTAGATTTGAGGGCATGGGCTTGAGCATTATGTAATTATGTTATCTATCACATTCGCTAACCTGTCTGTCTTTAAATTCTTTAAACAGCTCTGGATGCCGGTCGGCGGGTGCTTAACCAAGTTTGATGTGTTGGCTCCCTTGGTTTGCAGGGATCTAAAACATTTCTTACAGACAGGCCTCGTGGTGTCCGTAGGCTTGCCCTCACTGTCAGAGATATAGCTCAAATACTTCCAAATTTCGCTTCTGTCAACAAGCCGAGGCGCAGCGGCAGTTGCCCTCCCACTTGCAGCCATGCTTCTCATTTTCTCACATGCTCTGGCAGCTAGCGCATGCCGTGCATGAGAGAGGGGAGGCACTTGAGCGTGCTTGAGAGGGGAGGGATTAAAACAACGCTTTCTCACCGGAGTACTTTTCCCCGTCATTCTTAAAGTACCGATACCAATGAAACGGAGAAATCGTAACGTTTTTAACGGCAGGGTATCGCGGTACCTTTCAAGTATCGGTACACCGTGCAACACTATGGGCAACACTCCACCTATCAGGAGGAGGCAGCCACGGCCATTGCCGTTCAAAAGCGCTGGAGACGCTGTAGTACATATGCCAGGCCTGTAGGTGTCGCTGTAGTCTGCCACAAAAGCAGCGAAGTAGACTTCTCACAGATTCAGCCAAAAACAGGGCTAAAAAAGAGCAAATAGAGCGAAATGAGGCATGGCTAAAATGCATGATCTGTTTGGTATTTTGAAAAAAAAACTTCACAGACATGTTTTATATAGGTATGGCCCTACAATATATTATTCAAATATAGCATGATAGGTCCACTTTAAACAAACCCTTACACAAATCAGTTTTTATTGTTTTATAACTTAGTGTTTATATTACTTTCTGTTTCAATATACAAACATATACACATTTTAGTCAACTTTTTGTTACTTTCCCATTTACAGTATACAAGGTGGATAATGTTATTGGGTTATCCCAGTATACAGTATTTAGACTTACTATAACAACCCAAAGATAAAGGATTCATTTTTCCACAGTTAACATAATAAATAAAACATAACAAGTCCAAGTAGTTACAACTATTTAGTGACATTTTCCTCCTGACATTATTTTTGGTGTTTGGCTCGGTGGGAATTAATTTAATACCAAAAACCTGGCTGTATGATTTTATAAATATTTCTTTATGTGGACATTAAAGAAAGGACTAGCAACTGCTGTGTTGAAATTAATAGGAATCCAATAAAAATAAACACAATGAAAGAAATAAATTCACCTGACACGTACATACACACAGCGACCGCCACATAAAGGAAAACAGCCGCTTGAATCGGGAATGTGCTTTAAGGTTGGTCAATAAAGATATTGAATGTGAAAGAGAAGCCGGGGTCAGGTGGCCGTAAAGATTGCTGCTATGCAAACATGCCTCATCGTCTTTCCATACACATATATGCACACACACACACACACACACACACACACACACACACACACACACACACACACACACACACACACACACACACACACACCACACACACACACACACACACACACACACACACACACACACACACACACACACACTCACTCACACAGAGCAAGGATGGACTGTCAGCCAGTATCTTTGTGTCTCAGGCCAGCTAAGTTATGAGCATACTGCACTGTATGATCTTACCGAGCTCATAACATTCAGCACACACACTTCTGGCAGCCTCGCCCCTGCTTCCATACTTCAGCAACCGTAAAAAAATGGATCTGGATGCTTTTAAGATGATCTGTGGCCCCCATGTCACAGGCTCTCTCAGCGCTGAGACACAAGCTCTGGACCCGATTGTCCTGAAGCGTGAAGGCTGCTGCGGTTTTGGGCCCGAGGTGTTGAATGTGCGGCTGACGATGACACGAACCCCCCCATCCCTCCCCTAGCCCTCGACAAGGGGGCCTCATCCAGCTGTCCTGTTGTGGTCAGATTCTCAGTACTCTTCTGTATCACATGGGGAGGAGATAATCCCGCAATGGTCGGATCAAGCTCTGGCTGGGACAGGCAGGGCTGTCAGGGCCCGGAGACGTGAACTCGATGCTGAAAGGGAGAGTGAAAAAAGAGACAGACAGAAGGGAAAGAAAAACAGAGATCTTGCAGAAAACTGATACATTCGGCCAAAAACAGCAGCTTGTTCTGTCTTATTCCTCCCCCCTCCTCCCATTCTTCACATTATCTAACTCTTTTTTTACCCTCTCTGCCCTCCTGCCTTGCTTCTCTGCCGTTTGCAGCGCCGCTAAGCTGTAAACTGAAACTGGTTAGCACTGAGCTCTTAATTCTTGTCAGCGTCTATTAATTATGGGCCAGTTGGATGTTCCAGTTCAAACGGCCCCCGCGGATCTTGGAATTCTAACTCCGGCTGTTTGGTCACTTGTCGCTTGTTGCAGCCACATGACCCTGCAGCAGGAAAACTGTGTGTGTGTGTGCTATTGTGTGAGTGTGTATGTGAGGTCGGTGGTAGATGTCAGGGACAAAGGCAGCAATAATTTGTGTCACTTAGTCTGACAAGTCTACATATATTTAGTGTAGACACCTGCTTATTAAGTTTCTGCATGACACATTCTTATTGTTTTGAAAGCCTTTACTTACTCAATATCTCTTTATTAGGCCTATGTGTGTCATTAAATAGACAGAAGCTTTCGAATTGTAATATCTAGAGTACATGCGCACGGTCTCCCGAAGCACAATTTGTCATTTTAAATTCACCTTAACCCAGAGTAATGGCAGAAACTACTACAAAAGCTCCATCTATCTCAAACCCAGTTCCTAGCTGCCTAACTGACTAATTAAAACACATCCACATGTGTTCAAAGAACAAGAAGTCTATTTGCAAGCCTTATTGATTACTTTAAGGCGTACAAATGGAAAGCTGTGTTAGGAGAGGGGCTCTCGATTTAGCTTCAATCTGCCAGGCATAAAATGATCTCACTGTGTTTGCTGGGAAGAATGAGCTCCCTCTGGGCACGGTGGGTAATTAGGTTAGTGGATAGTCGGTGTCAGGAAATTGAAAGACCATCCTAATCGGATTCTTTTGTTTTCAAGGGAATCAAAGGAATTTATACGAGTCACTGGGAAATCTCACACGGCTCAATTCCACTTGACCATGTAAAATCTGTTTGCTCTCCCTCAATGCTCAAACAACTTGTAATACAAGCGTGTAAATCCAGCACATAAGGTGCATCTGATGTCCTCTGAGATGGCTTTCAAGATAATCCCTGATATGTCAGCTTGTATACTAACTAGATTCTTACACTCTCCATCTGCAACACAGAGGTATTTAACTCTTTCAGTGAAAGGTCAAAAATAAAAGAAAGAAACTCAACATCTATGGAATATGCATAAATAACTACTTATACAGGAATAACTTTCCAAAAAAAAGTCTTAAAGTTATATGACATTGAAGAAATTCTAAGTCTCTCTCCAATTCTCTACGGCTGTAATGTCAAATAACAGGTTGTGTGAATTATGAAAATTCATGACATTTTTTGTGTTTCTTTTGAATTTCTGTTCAAAGTCTAGAAAGTTTTTGGTGTACTAACTATGACCAAAAGGATGACTTATTTAAGTTTACTATATCTGTCTAAATAAATATGCCCTGTAAGCTTGTTTGTGCTGGGCATATTGTGTATGCATGACATAATAATGATCGATCAATCAAGCATGAATGTAAAAATAATAAAAACAAGGGAATCTGAGATTGAGATCTATGGCTCAGCAAAGTATTTGCGTATATTCTTTTATCACGCAAAGTAGTTATAGATGTAGCTGTTATTGAATTCATATAAACTGTTTTTGGAAGCCATTTCTACATGTGTGATCTTTTTTATTTTACAGGTGTACGTCTGGACCGGGTGAGAGGGGGGAGACAGAAGTACAAGCGGAGGTTGGACGCAGAGAACAGCGCCTACCTCGGCCTCAGCATGGCCCCTCCTGCCAAAAAGCCACGTGAGTCACACAGTTGTTGATGTTTCTATCTGACTCAGCTCAATTGTTTGGCACCTCAGCGTTACAGAGAGGCTTCATTTGGCTCTTAAATCAGATAAGCAATATCACAACTTGGGGTATTTATAGAATGTGTTTATAGAATTATTATAATTGTTTTCAATTGAGACTGCCACTTCTTTTTAAACTTTATTTATTTGTTATCATTCCTATGCTCCACTATAATCCAGCATACATGTATTTTTTCTTAATTTTCTTAATTTTGTTTTACTTTTTTTCTCTCAAACAAATACTGTTTTGTCACCTAAAATTGTCTCACCACGCCTCTCTCTTCTCTCTCTTCATCTCTGCGTCTGTCCTCCTCTCTCTCTCAGTGACGAAGATCGTTTCCCATCTGTTGGTGGTGGAGCCGGAGAAGATCTATGCCATGCCCGACCCCACCATGCCCGATGGAGACATCAAGGCCCTGACCACGCTGTGCGACCTGGCCGACCGCGAACTGGTGGTCATCATCGGCTGGGCCAAACATATCCCAGGTAGAGAGACATGGCTTCTAATGGATGACTGTGTCGTCTGGCATACTTCTAAAAAAACATATTAATTTCCGTATTTAACACTTTCAAGTTAGATACTTATTTCTTTCTTTGGCAAACATTCTATGAACAAAACCAAATTTAAGAAGGTCCAATTGAAAGACAAATTACATACATTATACAACTAGGATTATGTCAGCAGTTGTTTTGGTTCATCGAATAAAAAAAATCAATATCTAATTTGTAGGGTTTGATTACAGGATTCATGACGACACTCGTATGATATACTTTAAAATAAAGCAAGCAAGAAAACCCACATTTGTTCTTTTAATTTGTTGGAACGATACAGTATGCGATTACTGAAGTAGTTCACTGACGATTACTGAAGTAGTTCACTGACTGTTGCACACACACACACACACACAACACACACTGAGAGACACAGGATAATTAACATCTGCTACTCATCTGCACCTAAGGGAGAAGCTAGTCCCATATTCTAAAATCTAATCAATAAAGAGCAGCTGAAACCTTTGATTTGACTGGGTGGAGTGGGAGAGTCTGTGTGTGTGTGGGGGGGGGGGGGGGGGAGATACGCCCCTATGTCAATGTATTCCATTTCAATCCCAGACTTAAAGAAAGCAATCCTCTTACTTACTGAAGGAGACTACACAGTAACATTGATTTATTTAGGGAAATACTGATTTCCCCGGCCCTTGTTGACAAATTCTTAAATAAGACTTGTTATGCAAATAACCTGAGATCCTTTTTATCTCTATCAGTTGAAACAGACACTTTGTGTTTGGAGGGAGCACAGATTGGACTCAAAGTAGATCTTATTGATCCCATCGAGTATGTACAAAATTGCACATGTAGCAAATTGAATATTTTAATGCAGCACACAAGTTTCATTATTAATTAACTGGCTAAAATGTTCTTTATTTATCAATAAAATAACCATCACAATTTCTCAGAGCAAAATACATCATCTTTAAAAAAATATATATATCCCGCCAGCAATACAAAACACGAAGATATTTAATTTATATAAAACAAAGAAGCTCCTTACATTTGAGAATCTGGATCTAAAGAATGCTCCAAAGAAAGAAAATAACACATTTAGTTTTAAAATGACATCATGTATATTTATGAGAGAGTAGTCACAAATTCTTAAAAGTATTCATATAGCTCCAGGGGTTCAGAAATAATATAATATTTTGGAACGTCAATCCCTGTTACATTTTCTATGTATAACTATTGATCTTGCATGCTATGTAGATCTAAATGCAGACCTGACAGAGTTATTAATGGGGCACGCGACACTCTGGGGACACTTTACCCGGGGCCAGCGGGTCAGAGTGTCACCAAGTAACGATTAAGACAAAAGGGGTCCCTACAGTTTAACAGTCCACTCCCACCATTACACTCATAGCCCACTGCGCAAATGGCCTTAACGATGAGGTAATAAGAGTCATTACTGCGGATCGCTCCATTAATGCAAAAGTCCTTCAACATCCAGATGTAGAGACCTGGGAGAAAACATGCACGGGAAGGTTTTATGTTACATTTTGTTTAAATATGTGTGGTAAATGGCCGCCAAGCCTACTGCAACTTCCTTTACTTTAGTTTAGTTAATACAACACCAACTATTCCTAAGCTTCAAAACAAACATATTTTTGCCTTCGAGAACAAAACTGTTAGGAGAAATGGTTTTCATAGCGTTTTAAATAAAATTACTAAACGTGTGTGAAAGGAATGCTATAACTCATCATGAGGCATTCACTGATTGGATGTTACACACACTGTCATGAAAATGGAAGCAAAATCGCAGCTCGGTAGTCAGGGGGTCAGGGGTGGCCACTAATTTGTGCAGCTGTTAACACACAGACACCATCTCTGACATGTCAGTGTGCACAACATGTGAAGATTTATATTCAGGCAACTGCATCCAGCGCCCTCTGGTATTTCTGTCGGTTCAGCATGGCTTTCTTCTTTCCCGTCTTTCTCTCCTTAACTCTCTCACACACCATCGTATCATTCACACACTCTCTGGCTTCCTTGTTCTCTCGTTCCCATGACTCTCCCCCTCCTACTCCTGCGGCTCATATAGGGCCCTCTAGTCTCATTATTACCTCTGTCTTTTTATTAGGCCCATTAGGGCTCTTAGGAGGCCTGTAATGATACTAAATGAATAGAGAGTGAACTGCTGTCTGTTTTAGACCCAGCTCTCAATGACAGCTTCAAGCTTCACTGCCAACCACTCACTCTCTTCAGTGTACTGAATAGGGATTCAATTACTTATCTGATTTGTTCCTGTACTGTACTGTTGCATAGCCAGAGCACTCTGCTTTTCAGCAAACAATTATCCTACACAATGCTGTTCAAACCTGAGGGTACAGTGGTTCAGTGTGACCTGTAGCACCCTTGGGTGTGGAAGATATTCAGTCTACTAAACAGATTTTGAATTGAGATTTGTTCCACCATTATTTATTCCAGTGTTACAAAGACTAAATGGACTTTGAAACCGGCAGAATTAGCATCTTGAATTCCTCAAGTGATTGGGTTTAGGCAACATAAACACTTTGGTTCAGGGGCGATGGTGATCAAATGTTGAAGAAGTGTTGCACCTCATGCTTCAATATTAATTTGAAAAATATTGACTTTATCAATATTTAAACAAGACCATGATCTTTCCCTTACTCCCCATAGAGCCTAATCATTGTAATAGTTATAAGATATAAGATTATATGACTTATTTGAACACTGGGAGATAATGTACATTAACAATATGTATTCATTCAGATTTAATTAATGCTTTTATTCCAAATTGTAATATGTCTCTTGCTTCATAATCTACGGGCGTTCATCTAGACAGCTAAAGCAACATACCGTTAGCCATAGCTAGACTAAATGCTAGTTTGTCACAGAGTTACAGCTATTAATCAAATGTACTTGCCACGTCTTTTCTTTAACTTTACATAATTGTATTTCAGTTTGTTATCCAAAATAAATAAACAAGGCGGTAGCTACATCTAACCCACTAGCATAATCTTAAAGTAATTGAATTGAATTGAAATCACATAATAAATATATTATACTGTATATTTAGTTTTAATAGGTTGAAATATCTGAATTTTGGGTACTCTCTATTTAAAACGGGTTTAATTGGGTATAATAATTAGCTTTAAAAGATATAAAATGAACACATTACAACCCTTTATATGCAGTTTGCCTGCTAGGCTGTAATCCTTTAACACTTCCTTAATTCCTCCCTAACTGCACTCTTCCTTTGTAGTGGAGATTCATATATAATAATATATTTTTCTCTTAAAACTATGGAAACCTGTGGTGTCTCTTGTCTCAGTTCATGTTTTTTGTCATCACAAGAGGATAAAACTGCAGAGAGGGAGGCATTCCCCAGCTGGCTCGATACTGTGTCATGTTTGGTCAAACGGCAGTAAATCCGTAGGGCAAAATATTGATATTTCATGGCGGGGAATCACCCTCCACAGCGACACTTAACTCAGCCACCTCCAGGCGGCACACCTGAAGCTCGAGGGCGACCTCCAGGGAGCCATGAAGTCACTCCATCGCTTAAGTAAATTGAGTGGAAAGGGAATAAAAACATAGACTGGGGCGGAAAAAGATGGAGACAGCTGAAGATGGTGACTGTACTTTCTAGAAAAGGTTGAAAAAAATGTAGAGACAAAGCTTGAATATAACCAGTTTGGAGGTTTGATGTATTAAACACTCATAATAAGCATTTCAACATCAGTTTGAGTTTTTATGGACTCGCTTTGTGCACACGTTAGTCATTGATCCTCCATTATTATTCCAAATACACCTGATGGGATTGAAGCCATTAATTTGCTTGTGTTTTGGAAATGGAAAGTAAATTCATGAATTCCTGATGCAGCCTACAGTATCTCCATTCAGGGATCCCGTAGTCCCCCCCCCACTAAACGTGTACCGGATGTCCTCCATCAACTGTCTGTTTGTCAGATCTGAGGCTTGGATCGATCCCCCTTTCGCATTTGGTGGACTGATTACAATCTACTAATCAATGACACCCCCAGCACTCTTTTCTCTCTCCCTCATTCTCTCTCCCCCTCGTCGTTTCTCTATTTGCTTGATAAGAACCATCGGGAGGAATTCCTTTTAAGTCAACCTGCCCCATTCCCATCCATACAACCGCAGATTTAAGTAAGCAGAGTGCTGGGTTCAAGGCCCTGGTCAATACCCCCCAATCACCTTCCTATTCACTATAGAGAAGTGAAAGGTATTGTGGCGCTTGAGGTCCTTTCAGATGTCTGTCTGTTTGATGTGGTGTGATTGTCGCAAAGAGAGTTGATGGGTCGACCTCGAGATCTTGGAGGGATTGTTACCTCGAGTGCAGAAGGTTGAACACGAGAGACAAAAGGATCAAGATGGTGTCTATCAGGGAATACGTTTTGGTTTTGTTTCAGCACTTCATTTGAAAACCGTTCCCATCTAAATACCATTATGTCACCAAGTGTTAATAACAATTCAAGTATATGAGAATTTCATTAGGTATGTTTTTGACTGATATTACTATCAGAGCTGACTTGATGCAGATCAGTGTGGATTTAAGACCAAAAACTCTTCTGAAATAATCTTCTGTACTTCCGCCATCTTGCCTTCATCAGAGTGGTAACTGAGGTTTATTTGTCTCACATCAATTGTCGATGTTGTTGTAACTCTCCCTAGCTATTTGATTTTTTAGAACAGATATTATCGACTAAACTCTACAGAAAACAAACGTCCCTTTTGGTTCCTTGTTTAGTCCTTTTGGGCTTAAGGAGCTTTCACATTAATCCAAAACTCTTTGACAATGATATGACTAATTGATTCACATCATATAATTAAACAAATCTGATAAAGGCATAGTAGACACAAAATATCTGAGAAATTAAACCCGCTATATTGGTAGATATTTCTGCAACTTGTTTGATGGATTGAGTTCATGTTATGACAGATGGTGACACCGACCAGAAACAATGATCAAGTGACTGAGAACACATTTATATTAGACCATTAATTCAGTTGATTTTGAAATAAAATGTTTTGGCTATGAAGAATTCATTTAGTTTTCTCTCTTCTGTACCATGACCAGAGTGAGAGGTGACTAGGTTTAACGGTGTGTCACATCACTAAGCGGTGTGTCATGTGTGTATGAGGTAGAGAGGGCTGACTGTGGACGGTTGATGGTGGAAGCAGCGCTAGCTCATGTTTCAAAGGCCTCCATACTTGACTGATTTATATTCTTCCTTTAAGCCACCACATACAGCCATCGGCCTCTGTTTCATGTTGGACTTCTCTGGGGATTATACAGGGTTGTATACACAGCCCATAAAACACATTGAGGACTTGAGTCGGCCGTTTACAGTGCAGTGAAGTTAATGGGTTGATCTCACGGTCATGTGAGTGAGTGCAGCAATACATGGAAAGGAAATCTCCCAAAAATAACATTAGTTTATTTTTGTTTCTGCAGGTTTTTCCACTCTCTCGCTGGCAGACCAGATGAGTCTACTGCAGAGCGCCTGGATGGAGATCCTGGTGCTGAGCATCGTGTTTCGCTCGCTGCCCTGCGAGGACGAGATAGTATACGCAGAGGACTACGTGGTGGACGAGGAGCAGGCGAGGGTCTCAGGCCTGCTGGACCTGCACGTCGCCATCCTGCCGCTGGTGCGACGCTACAAGAAGCTGCGCATGGAGAAGGAAGAGTTCGTCACGCTCAAAGCCATCGCACTCGCCAACTCAGGTACAGTTTACCTCCTCAATACCACTGTCTGTGACTATTTAGATTCAAGGCTTTTATTGTCATGTGTACATAGCTACAGTAGTTATGTCAGTGAAAATCTTAGGTCACAGGCTCCTCCAACAGTGCAACACAATAAAACAGATAAAATATTGCAAGTAAATACAAATAAAATAGAATTAACTGATGCAGTGCAGCAAAACTTTTATTCAGACCCACATCATTTTATTTGACATTCTAGTGGAGACACCAATATTTCCAAATATACCAATTAATGCTTTTGAGGAGTATTTTTGGGAGAATGCGGGAAGACACCAAGAATACCTTGTTGTTGTTTTCTTCAACACGAAACGTTAAAGGGTGGCAACACACACAAAATATATATTTCAGGGCTTTTACTTTTTTTACTTTTGGTTTAAGCACTTTACTTACCAAATGGTTTTTCTTTGGTAGCATCAAGAACTAGCAAATATAAAGTTATTGTATCCTTATTTCCTTCCTATTTTACTTTACAAACAAGAATACGTCACGAGCTTGACAGGAAGGTACATCTCTATGTGAAATCTTAAATAAATCTAGATAGTCGGCATTCAATTAAAGCAAACAATGAAATAAAACAAAAACAATGTCAGGTGATTGGTTATATCTGGTGAGCCGATCACTTCCCCGCTGAAGGGTACCTGATAAGAGGGGACAAAAAGGTCAGCAGCGTGCTTGCTTAATGCAACGCTCAATGTGCGTGAATGTGTGTGTGCATCTCCTTTTTAATTTGTGTGCACATATGCGGGTGTGTGTGTGAGAGACTGTCACATTGCGCTTTCATTCTCTCCATCTCCATAACAGTGGCTGCCAGCGCGCCACAGCCCAGGGAGATATATTTAGCATTTCATTAGGAAAACAGGGGCTGTCAATAAAATGTGTTAAGTGGAGTGGAATGAGCGGTGGGGAGCGACGGGCCTCGTTTGTTCCAATGTGAAGATGCTGCGCCCGTATCGACAGTTTGCTTTTCATGAGGCCGGGCCTGTCCCCCACTAATCAATGCCTGTTAGGAGTCTTTTCTCCTGCCTGACTGAAAAATGAAAAATGCTGAGCCCAGAGCTTTAGTCTTCTGATGACAAACTCTCCATGGGAGGGGAGGATAAATGGGTGGGGGGTTATGGAAAGACAGGGATGTAAAGGTAAGGGAGAAGTGTGAGAGAGGAAGGCAGGGGTTGAGAGGGAGGCTCAGGGAGGGCGAGAGGGCAGCTTCGGCTCGTTTGAACACAGTTCTCGCAGAGCTTCGGCGGCAGGGGTCCTGTGGGTGTGACAGCTGTCGAAATTCATGGCCATTGATTTTGTAATTAGCGGAGTATCGACGGGATTGACGCCAGGCTGCTGACGGATTACATGGAAATTGTTTCTTCAAAGTTAGTTTTGCATTCCGCCCGTAAACTCCTTCAACATATGTGAAACGCTGTGCATTTACACACACACGCTGACACACATTTGAAAAGCATATTCCCTCTTCCCCTCCTCTCTCTCACTGAGTCACACACACACATATGCTCGCACAGCCAAACGAGGATCAGATCAGTATTAACATGAAGGTTTCGAATGAAGAGAGCTGGAACACATGTGCGGTCCACATAGCCTAGTTAATTTCCCAAGATAGAAACGCAATTTACACGGAAGGCGACTGGTAAAAGAGACTTAATCAGTCAGTTAGGAACATAATTAGCCTTGTACTTTCCTTTTGTATGCCTCATTTACATGTTTATACGCAGTCTTACTTCATTCCACAACTTTCATGACACATAGCTGAGGGGATCTAATTCACTCACACACTTCAATCAGGAGCCACGTTCGCTTTAAATTCAGGGACACAGTGTGTTTAGGAGGAGACGAGACACTCTTAGTCTGTTAGATCAGTGATTCTCAAATGGGGGTACGCGGACCCCTGGGGGTACGTTGGGGTACTGCAGGGGGTACGTGAGATCTAAAAAAAAAAAAGTTAATTAAAAAACTAATCTTAGTAAAATAAGTTAAATAGAACACACAATTTTATATAAAACATGCCTAGAACCACCAAGTGGGTCCTCATATAAACATGTCAAATGTGTGTATTGTATTTTATAGTTTTTCACAATAACATATTACTTTAATTGAAAAACTCCTTGGAAAAATCTGTTTTGTTGTAATGCATACCACGAAGGAGTTAATACATCACACACTGAGGGAACATCACTATATTGTAATTATTTATACAGGCTTTTTCGATCAAAAATGTTCGGGATCGGTCAGGGGGTACTTGGCTGAGAAAATGTTTCAAAGGGGGTACATTACTGAAAAAAGTTTGAGAAGCACTGTGTTAGATATACCAAGATGAGATGTTTTTCGAATGTTATAATACTGAATTAAATTCCCATTTTGTTGTGCACAATTGTGTCAGTTAATAAAATGTGGATATGATACATACACAGATTAGACCCGATATAAGTCTGTGCATTGGAATTGGCTGAAAGCAATCCGCTGCTTGTCCATTAAAACGCTCTCTGTCCGTTTGTCCTTTGGAGGACAAGCCTGTTTTTTTCCTTCCCCTGACTTGTAGACTTATACATGGAGAGCAGTTTTTAATAAGTCTCAACTGGTTTTATTTTAGAGCCTATACATAAGGGGGCCAACTGCTCTTTCTTATGGAAATGAAGGCCATCTGCCGCCATCATTCAGCTGAACGATATCCCAGTAATGCAGCCATCTGAATTCATTAGCAGGGGGGGATGTATGTGGTCCATGATACCAAAAGAAATGAATCTTTTTCCTGTCCCCGCAGTATATTTATACGGACCTACAGTACCTCTCTCCCTAGAGTCCCGGCCACGCGTAGGCATTTATTTAAGGAGCGTCATTAACTACTACCAAGAGAAAACCTCTCTCCAAAATTACATGTTTGCAAAGACAAGCAGCTGAATGTAAAGCTGGGGGATGCTGCTGCAAAAGTTGTTTTCGTCATACTGCAGGTCAATAGAAAATGTTCATTTGTTTGTCATTTAATACAAAGCTTTGGAATAGGTTGATTAAATGTTCTCTCTTGTGTCCTTCTCCAGACTCCATGCACATAGAGAACATCGAGGCCGTCCAGAGGCTCCAGGACTCCCTCCACGAGGCTCTGCAGGACTTTGAGGGCCAGCATCCGGAGGACCCCAGGCGGGCGGGCAAGTTGCTGATGACCCTTCCTCTGCTCCGGCAGACCGCCACCAAGGCCGTGCAGCACTTCTACAGCATCAAAATGCAGGGCAAAGTCCCCATGCACAAACTATTCCTCGAGATGTTGGAGGCCAAGGCTTGACACCCGGGCTAGATGTTTGACAGACAGCTGCATCACCCAACGGGAGGCGAGGGACAGCCCATAAAAAATAATAAGGTGGTGTGCCAATTGACAAAGAGAGGATGAAGCGTGGACTACTGAGTCATTTTAACACTTTTAATGGTAATAAACATAACAGGAAAAGGGACTAGAAATGGTTTAAAAAGGATGAATATCAACTTGATTGACATGGGATCATGAGGATGTATATAAAGACGTTCTGTACAGAAATCAGGCAACTGAGGTCTTGTTATAACCAGAGGCCCTTTGCTCTATATCACCTGAAGCTTCTGTGAATTTGTTTCTTATCTTATTTTCATCTCAAAACAAAGCGTGTTAATATAAATGTCCTAAAGAACTGTACGGCCACGTAGCCACATTAAGTGTTTTTGTTTCTCTCATATTTTCGAATCTCAGCTGTTAAAGCAATAGTCTCTAACTGGTCTACATATAATATGTGTACTGTATATTGTGTGAAATTGCACTGGGCAGGGGCGAGAATTGTTAGACATATTCTTATATTCGTCTGCAAAGAAAGTGGTACTGTGGGATTCTCGATTTCCTCGTAATATATTTACCTCGTAGTAGCTTCATCGACTCAGTTTTAGTCAACTTGGTGCTTTCAGAGGGACAATGGTTGGCCGGTGATCACAGTTCACAAAGAGTTTGCACTAAGCATCGGTGGATAAATGGCAATAATGGGTATTGTTCTAGCCAGCTCCGAGCCTCAGTCAGTGTTTTTTTCTTATTAACACTAAACCCCCTCCTCAATTCTCTGTTCAGTGTTATACATTAATATTGGAAACTAAGCATACTGTGAAAAAAACACAAGATAAGCTATATTTGTGCGGAGAGCTTTTAAACCGTATGGCTTGTTAAAGAAAAGTTTATTTAATTGAAATCAATTACAGAAACATCTATGCAATTGAATGCAATCTAAAACGCTCTGTAATGAAACCTGATAGCCCTGCAATAAATACTACCATTGTGAAGTTTATTTAATGTTCACTCTGTGTCACATAGGTGCTGATTCAACTCTAAATGTAGAGGCCGTAGTTTGTGACGGTGCGGTATTAGATTGCATTATGTTGTGTAGGTTTTGCTTAGGTTCTATGCTCAAACAACAAATGTCACTTTGTTGATGGTATTATTTTCAGTTTATCTTTTGTTCATTTTAAGTCCTGTGTGATACCAAAGTCTACGTGTTAGCTTCATCTAAACTTAAAAACATATTTTGATCCTGTATTTTGTTCTCGGTGTGAACGACAGGGGAAATATCGTGGCCCCTGAGGGTGAAAACTTTTAAATATGACTCAAATATTTTTCATTGTCATTTATAAATAACAAAACCGTAACTTCTTTATGAAGGCTGGGTAAATATTTGGCATAATCCTTCTGAAACGCACCCATACATAAGCTTCCATTAGAGATGTTTTGGTTTGCAACTACACACAATATTCATAGCTTAAGCTTTACAGATAATTTATATTATCTCATAATTGTGAGCTATCGTGAGCTATCTTTAGGGTGGCAAGATCAAAAGAAATAATGCAATTTTCTTTTTTTCACTTGAGAGTTTTGAGTCTCTTTGTCTTCGTGTTTGTTCAAAAGTAATCTGGCAGCCTGTTAAACAATATAATGACACTTTCTGAGAATAACTTGAATTACTGTTACATTTGTATTTGATCAGCTCTCAGATTACAGCTTTCTGTCAGTCTGTATCTTCAAAAATGATTTTGCTCATCATTCAAAAGGGCACTCTGTCCATTTCTACAAACACTGACACAGGTTCAACTATATACATTCTAAACCAGTTGCCAAATTATTAAAATAAATCTATCAGAATTAAGTGATTGCAATAAACGTATTATCATAAGTTCAAAATATAACAATAATCAGCTGCTGTAGGACTTTAGTGAGACAGATATTGTCCCTTACGAACACTTTGAAGCAGCCGTTAATCTAAAGTGTTTTAAAGTGCAATTAGCTTCTGCCCAAACAAGAAGAAAACATAAAGCCAAGTAAATAAGACGTTCGCCACTTGAAATGATCCCCACAGGAACAGACGCTATTGATTCACTGTAATGTGATGCATAGATAAATATAACCCAATACAGTAGAGGATACAATTCCCATGATGCACTTCCCTAATGAGTAACCAGCTAATTCATCCCCAAATAAATTGAGGGATGAGTCTCCGCTGTACAGAAGCAAACCAAAGCGTAAATATCTTAAAGTTTATAAAACTGCATTTTGAGCCAGCCAGACCATTGTGGTTGTTAACAGTATACTAATGTGTTATACATTAAACCTTTTAAAACTTTTAAACCTTTTATTCTCCTTATCATCCAGTCTGTTATTTTTTTGTACCGTCCTTTAATCCTACGATGGTGGGGATGACCGCTAAACAAGCTGAAGACCTTTTTTCTTTTTTGTTTAGTCTATATGTCGATTAGACATCTGTCACTTTGTCGATATAAGACACCGTGTGAAGTAAGAGATGAAACTACCGATGTTTTTCATGTTACCATGGTTAAAGGAGACTGTTTCTGGCCAAAAGCTTGACCACAACATGCAAACTGACCTTCTCTCCTCTTCTTCACGTACCTCCTCTGTGCACTTTGAAGAAGGATAATTGTTTCCTAACTTTCCCTTCTTCTCAAATGAACATGAGAAAATAAAAGAAAAATGCCTAATTTATTTTCAGAGTTCTAAAACGGTTCTACTACATCCAATTAATTCTAATTGTCTCCTAAGCTGAAATTCTCAATAGAAATGGAGCAATTAAATGTCTGCTTTGGCTCTACCTTGGGGACGAGAGACATTTTATTTCGGTTGACGGCGGGGAGGGTTTGTCTAAACCTTTACAAAGGCGATTTCATGGGTGTCTGTAATAGTTTCATAACAGAGCGATCACTGGGCTATGCAAGGCAAATATGGCCACCTAAGTTCCCTTGTGTTGTGGAGCATCAGACGGACATTTAGCTGTGCTTTGTTTACAACGTGGGCATACTGTACAGAGCTGTACGCCGCAAATGTATTGTGCATATTTCACCATACTATACTGTAGCTGCTGTGCATTGATATTACGATGATTGTTTGTTTCATTTGCCCGTTAATGAATTTTTCATAATGTATCAGCAACTTCAACACACATTTAGGGCCCACCTGAATAGCTGTGTAATATAAATCACTGTATTGAGTCTGTTATATTTGGTCTAAGGTGGGATGTTTTTTTTCTTTACTGTGTCTTTGTGTCTCTCAAAGCTGAAACAAACACTCTGTGTTGCCGTCCGTTTTGTTTATGAGCACAGCAGGACGTATAGCGAGTGAAGTAGTAGTCTAGACCCTATACCTCAATTCATATTTTGAAACTTACACTGGGCTTGGAAGCGGGCCATGGGTTTCTCCTGGGAATCAGTGGCACAGAAATAAAGTGACATCACTGACTGGGTATTAAAAAAATGTTGATGAACCTGCTGCAATTGGGGAACACATTCCTCAGAGGAGAAAGCTGCTTATTCGCTGTTCCATTTGCGGACTTATCTTATCTCCATGCACTCTGAGATGACGAGATTTACATAAAACATGGAGGATCCTCCCTGGCCGTTCTGCTCCGCGGTGTATAAAAGGACCCTGCTTAGGTGTGTGTACCGTAGACATATGATTACCCAAGAGGTTTACTCCCCTCAAAAGCAATATGTTAGAAATTCTGATATATGAATCAAGTTAAAAGGGAGCTTTGGTTCATTGTAATTATAAACGTACCCTATGTTTGGAAAAAGACAGGGTAACTATGCACACACAGTCCTGGAGAGACACAAATAATGTGAAAATGTTGGGATGAAGAAGCAAAAAGCCAACCACAGCTGGGTTTCACTGGACAGTATTGTGTGGCATTCTCTTGTGTTTTGTTTGTTGTGTTCATGCCTAATGTACCCATGTGTAAATATATGCTTTTTTTGGAGTGAGTCAGATCTAACAATGCACTGAATGTACAGTGACAATAAAATCACATGGTTTATGTAATCACTGCAATTTATTTCTTACTAATGAACATGGGAAGAAAATAATCTTCTAAAAAAACGTCTTTGTAACATATTTAATGACAAGTTTCACTTAAAGAATACCTATTTTATGGAACAATAATTCTGGTTTAAGTTTTCAACAAATATATTAAATTGCAAGATACAATATTTTCCTCCTACAATAATGATTTTACCCACATTACACAATTACAAAAATGTTTGAGGGGGTATTTTACACAAAATATTCAAAATATCATTTGCAGTAATACACACATTTACACCTCAAGAAAAAAGAAAACAGGTTCATTCTAAAATAATTAAATATCTTCATACTGTCAAGGTTTTATAAACATACATGCCTTCGGAAATATGCAAATTACTTCAAAGCAATACAGGCTGTAATATAAAGTCACTTTTACATGTTTGCTGTAATGTGTTGTTGCTTTTAGCTACTCCGGATCATCCAATTTTCCTGGTAAACATTTTTTATTAAATAGATATCAACAAAATAATAGTGAATACTGATACAATGCTTTTATCAGACATATTTGTATTGAGTGCTAGAGTGCAGCATTGCCCTGATATCGGCGTATGTAATGTACAGTCAAACGGTGCCCAGCCTGACCCATCATGTATATGCGCCTCTGTCTGTGTACTTGTACATTTAGCGAGACGGTGCCTTGGGGTGTAACGGCATCCTCCTGCCCCGACTGTCAGTTGGTTAGCTGTCTACACAATGTCCCGTTTGACCTTGCGTTGGCTACAACAATGCACATCTGACACAGTCCCTTCCTTTGTGGTGCAATCCTGTGGAAGTCATTTCATTTACTGGGCTTTCAACTTCAGCCAATATGGGGGTTGGGGGAGTAAGTCTGTGTTTAATCAGCCTGCCACAAACCATTCCCTTAAACAAAATCAGCTACGATGTCCAGCGAAAAGATCTCTCAACAGAAGATTGAATTAAACAAATAAATGGGCTTGTCACTTTTTCATTTTTTATTTATTCTCTTGGCCCGGCTACGCCCGCCACTCCATGTTATTGCTGAAAATAACAACTGTGTATTAACTTGTGCTTTGTTCTGCAGCGACACCAGTATGCTAGTGTAGTGAGGTGTCACCCATTGACACTTAGGGACTGCTGAACAATAACTGAAACATAGAAAACACTTAAAGAAAACACTGGTCACTGAACTTCTCATATTCTCAGCTCCACCCTCTCTTTTGTGAGTATTTTTTCTCTGTTTTCAGTCTTGCTGGAGGGAATTAGGGCATGGCCCACTGTCCTCAGAGTGACTTTCCATCTTGCAAACCATGTTTTATTCTCCTTAAATCGTCACCAGTCGTAAGACCTGCCTGTGCTTAAGAAAGGGCATTGACACTGTCACCCTGCGGTCTGTTAATCAGCCAACCTTGTTGCCTTCCTCTTTCAGAAAATCTATGATCACACTGTTAGTGCAACCTTGTACTGTCCCCGCCACCGTACACTCACACTCCTTCCTTTTGCCTCATGTGAGGATTATTCAGCGGCGGAGGTGAGAGTCCACTGAGAATAGGCTGTAAAGTGTCAGTCATGGTTACCCGGAGTGGTGTTGTCTTGGACAATGTAACTAGGTGAAAGTGAGTGAAGGAGATAGGAAACCATCAATATGCTCCCTGTGTAAATTGAAGAAGGTCATGATTTATGGCTGCCGGCTACAGCGTCCATACATGCTGAATCTACTCTTTTTTTTCTCTCCCTCTGTCGCCTGGCTCAAGGACAGGTAAGGGTGCCTTTCTCCGCAGCTCATCCCCACCGGCGTGCAGTCTGTGGCACTTTGTGATGGACATCCCTGAAAAAAGGCTGTTGTTTTCAAAATGAGTTGAGCGCCATCTATAGGCAGCCCCAGTGACTGAGGGACAGTACCTCTGCTGTTCAGAGGGTGCAGGAGATAAATATGCTTTCAAATGGTGCACTTTACTACCTGTGATACTCAAAATCCACCTGCCTCTTTGGGTTTTTCATCACCTCATCAGTCACGTATGTATTTTAGTCTCCTTTCACTTTGGGGACTCAGACAGAGAGGGGACAGCTGTGGGTTTTTCTAAGGCCTCGCAACAGCTGCAAACCCCGCATGGCATTGCATCTGTTCAAGTCTTGCAGCATTATGGCCTGTATCTCAACTAAAGCAAGTTACATTACAGTTCAGAGTGGGGTTCTCTCTGGTCTTACCCTATTAACCAGTGAGCAGATGGAAATGATATGGTAGGGTGTTGGGCCTGAAAATGGACTTGCAAGCATCTTGCTGTCTTGCATGTGGCCTAAAATGGGACCATTTAAATATGGCCACACAAGAAAAATCAGCACTTGGTTGTAAATTAATTCGAGGTGGCACTATGAATACCATGAAGTCTTCTATGAATCTTAAGGTTTATTATTTATTGGGATGATTTATTATGTCTGGGCGCCTCTGACGTTGTTACTTTGCCTTTGCAGGGAGCCAGACGTAACAAATGGAGCGCTCATTAGCATTTGACCTCCACATTATGCTTTGTTTACCTGCCTCTTCTCACCTCTATATCTCCTCAGACAAAATCAGGGCTTTCACAGAACACTGAGAGTGTGACACAGTTTTGTTACTGGGCGGTAAAGGTAAGTACCACATTTGCATTGCAAGATTTCTCAAACAACTTGAGCATGCAGAAACAAGGGAGGGGGAAAAAAGATGCTCTGCTCCTCGGGGACGTAGCCACTCCCAGACGCTGTCATCTAGGCTCTGGAGTCCTGACAGCTGCTGAAATCCCCAGAGATGATCGAAAGAAGTATGAACAAAAGTTACAGTGAAGAGTCACCGGCAAATCCTGTTGTGTTTGGATAGGGCATTTTTTTCCATCTAATTGCTTATGGCAAGAAATCTTTAAATCACTATACAACATGGATTTTAAGTGTGAGATAGTACATTGCTTTTCTTTACGTATGGCAGTTATCGCACATTTTGGTTAAAAAAACAAACACTTTCAGCAGTTACAGGTTTAGAAATGTGGTTAAAAAATAAGAGATACAAATTGTGTTCAGGGCATATAGTCCATGTAAATGTTTGTCATGTCTTACTCTCCTTCATACATTTGTACAACCAGACCAGAAAAAGAGAAAACACTTGATATAAAATACATGTAATATGAAATCAAATCAAGATAAAGAAAAACATCATTACAATTGCAATTATATGCTCTGAGCAATATTAACATTTCAACGTTTCATGGGCAAGCAGGTCATGCGTACAGTGTGTGTAAAGAGAATCATAAGCAACAAGTAATGGCAAAACATCCTGAAAAATACACACACACACAAACACATTATATTAGCAGACCGTGGGGTGTGGCAGATAGCTGTGTGTGTGCTGTAGTTAATTGCGCACCGAGAAACTGTTCTCTAATTTATTTCTTGCCTGTCCATACAAGAGTGAACATGAAAACCCATTCATTTCACAGAACACAATTTTCATATTTAATGAGCATGACTCCAATACAATTACAGTAATTAGTCAAATCTCACTCATGGCCAATGGAGCTCGCCACCATTATTAGTGAATCTTATTAATGATGTTGCACATGTGGTGCTCATAGGGTAATTGGGGGCATGTGTGGGTATGGGAACAGGGGTACTGGGGATTGGAAAGGAGTGCTGGTGTCAGTCTGTTTTCTGTCTATACCGGGCCTTGTGTTGAATGGAGGTCTGCTTGATATTAACTCTGAGATGTTAAAACATGGTAGCAGGCAGTGTAATGTGAACATGGAAGAGAATGTAGCTTTAGTCTTAAGTAGGACAACTTGAATTCTACATAAATTAAATGTATCACTGACACATCACTGTGTTGCTTCATCAGTCGACCTCAAACTTTGTATTTTACATGCTGCTTTAAATAATTGCATATCAGTTCGCAGCTTCCCCGCCGTGCTCCGGACCCAGGAGGATCACGAAGAAAAAGACAAAAGGGAGATGCTGGAAAAAGAAGCCCATTTACTCTGTGAGTGATGATACTGCAGTGTCTGACATTTTGGAGTTTTGTAGAGCTTCTCTTTCCAGACTGACCCTTATTAAACCTATAGAGCTGCGTTGTATCTGCAACCAGAGGATGCAGCAGCAAGTGACACATCTCCCCCTGATTTAGAAGAAGTCCTTGTGTGCACATTTCTTTGTGTTGTTATGTGCAGATGTGAAGAGATACATTTCTTATGTAGGCTTAAAACTGTGATGTTACATTTCGAAATTTGATACATTTGCATTTTGTTTTAAGAAAGGAAGAAGCAACACAAAAGGTAACATATATCATTTTTATACAGGCCGTGGTGAAAGCTATGTCTCGTGTTGTTACGTGTGCTTTGAAGCAGTTACTGTCAGGGTTGATGTTTATAAGGAAGCTATAATTCGTATCAAAGCAAATTGACTTAATGGCCTCTTATCCAATTAAGGGCAGCGAACGGCTAAGTTAATGAGTGTGACGCAGAAACAAAAAAACCTCTATTAACACAACATAATTAGCGGAACATGGTGGAATTAGACAGCAGCAATGACAGTGCTTTGGTCTTTTCATAATTAAACACAGGGAAAAAACAACAATTAACCAGATCTTAAAGCCCTAGCCTCATTTAAGCCGGAGAGGACATGCATTGTTTTTGCTTAAGCTCTTGAGACGCTGTTGTGTGAAGTTTGAAATACAGTTCAAAGACAAGAGCTGAAAGTGAGGGAGGTCATGACAACAATGTGGCAGATTCAACGAGGCCGCAAGACTCAGACACAGCTGCTGAGTGTCATGTTTGCTATAGAGAACAACTGAATGACATATATTCTACATTTAACAGCAATGTTAGCATGCTAACAAATAAAGCTGATTTTGAAAATTAGTAAACAGAGTACACCCCACGGTTCCTGCTCTCCTCAAAACTACAGACAAACAAAGAGCAGTTAGCTTTATAGATCCCTGGGTGAAGATATAGGAGCACTTAGCAGGTAAAGAGACATAT